CCGACACTAAAAGGTGGTTGTTTCGCCATCAGGCTATCACAAGGGACTGATTCCTTGTTATCCTCTAACCTTCTTCACTGTCTTATTTGTTAAAATTTTTCTGCCCTTTTTTCAAAAACTCTCCATTTACTTGAAAATCTCATGTCGTACGTGGAGTTTCCCACACGTGTGTTCTACTTCATTTCGACTATGTACCAGTGACGTCATACTGTGACGAAAACCAAGCTCACCAGCGTTCCACGCGTTTGCTTTCTAGTTTTCTGGGTGTGTTGGTACCATGGGGAAACTGAAGAGGCCTGAATGGCATTAGTTTCTCACCGATCAGAAGACATGCAAATTTTTATACAATTTTCAGAAGAAGAAAATTTAGAAAATGTTTTTTTTTTTTAGTGAGTCCGTGAAGTGATGGGATAACATATGAGATGACCAGAGTAAGTGTAAGCATGTGAAACTAGCACGACTTGTTTGACCCAATTCACAACTTCATATTCCTCTTTTTGCTTTCTGTCTTTCCTTTGTTGTCTCCTACTGTGTTAAAAGAGAAAAAAAAAAGAACAATATAATTTGAGCTGGGAAATACTACTTTGTGGACGAAATTATTCTACCCAAGTTTTGCTTTGTAGAAATATTTTGTCAAAACTGTTATCTTGCTTTATTGGGGTGGACACTAGACAGAGGGCGCATCTCTACCCTCACAAGTAGTATGCAAGTTTTCCCTCGTTTTTAGTAGGGCATCATTCTGCAAGACTTTCAGTTGCAGCGAAGCTGTTGGGCCTCCTTTATTCTTTAGTGAGCTGGCTAGATCATATTCGACCAGAATTGAAATAATTGTTCCAACTGGGTAGGCTTTATTTAACATCAGCTTTACAACCGAGTACTAATTTTCTCCTGAAAGTTAATTAGTTTTAGGAAAAGTTGTTAGATTTTAGTATTCCTATAGTTTACTTTTATCTCAAGTTCCAAGCTTTCTTCTGGTTTGAATAAAGAAAAGAGAAAAGAGAAAGCTTCTTTTGTATATGTCTTATGCATTGCCAGATTTGCCATGTTGGGCTACAATTTTCAAGAAAAACTGAAAAAATAGTGGCAACTAATTCGTTTATTTGTCCATTGAAGTTGCCCGCCTTCCAGTGTTCCATTTTGCTGGAGGATATTTTTAATTCTCAAAGGAGATGAGATGAGCACGCCAGCAATAATTAATGGACAAAGTTACTTGTGCAGATTATTAAACAATTGGGTTAAACTTTCGTAAAGCTGTAAAGACATGGTTAAATTAGTAGTACTGGTATTTATTAGTATGATCTTTAGATGTGAGAGGTTATTCTTTCTTTTCTGTTACTTCCCTCTTTTGCATTTGCTATGTAAGATAATGATTTCATCCATGGGCCTCTTGCCTGTTGAATTCATGCTGAAGATGGTGTAAATCATTTTTTTAACGGCCTAAATAACTAAAGCTATCATTAGAGACTTTAACTTCTGAAAGGACCAAAGAAATGCCAGTCTGCCCTTTTTCTTTCTTTTGTTTTTCTATTTTCTTCCTGCAAAGTTCTTAGAAAGGTTATCATTCAATTAATTGGATTGGTATTGGATGGTTTTGGTTAGTCTCTGATGGAAATGATGCTTGATTCTTTGACCTTTTCTGGTGCTTGGTCAGGCACGGAGGGCACTGAGGGCATTGAAAGCATTGGTGAAGCTTCAAGCACTAGTGAGAGGCCACATTGTGAGAAAGCAAACAGCAGACATGCTCAGGCGCATGCAAACGTTGGTCAGACTGCAAGCTCGAGCCCGTGCCAGTCGTGCTTATGTGACAAAATCTTTTGATTCTGCCAGCAAGATGTCCCATTCACGAAATGCTGTAAGCAGGCCTCTACTCTTGTTGACATTCAGATACAGTATTAATTTCTTTATTCATTAATAAACATGATTTAGAAGGTTCGTTGTAGGCTAAAACATGGAGTTTGATATTGCTTGCCATGAGCTCACATGATTCCTAATGCACTAATGAATTGAAATACTGAGGGACCAGTTGCTTTTCCTACTTAAAGTTCTGATAACCTTATGGAGGATTTTGTTTTTTACCATAGCGCATTGAATAGGACTCTGTTTAAAAGACACTGCATAATACAGGGGGGAACTCTCCTTGTCCGCTTACTGCACCAATCAATTATTTTTGCTTCCAAATTGTGTCTCTTAAAGAAAATTTGTACACTTTTATGCACATGGCATGTCAGTGACCTAGGTCAGGCTGAAGGTTCATTACAAGCCCTCTCTTATGCTCTTATAACTTTAAGAACCTTGAGTGGTTTTGGGTTGCTATTAACCTATAATGATAAGCTGCAGATCAACTGTGGTCAAAAGGACTAGATTTTTTTTTTTGAAAATCATTGGACAACGAAAGGACCACAGTTGTGGTCAAGACAAAATTAACTGTACTGGGCTGAATCCATAATTCAAATAGAAACAAAAGCCACCAATTTTTAACATGTGTTTTACTGCTCCAAAATGTACTGTAAGGAGGAATAATCAGTATATGAGACCTTGTTGAGAATAACTTATCTGTATGCTCATCATGCTTATTTTTCCTGATAATTTTGCAGGTCCCTGCAAGTTCTGTAAAAGATGAATGCCAACTCCGTGCTTATAGTACTAAGTTTGATGGGCCCTCAATCCTCAAGGTATCACTTTCTTGGCACTGTAGTCTCCCATTTTAGGATGCACCTATGTGGTATCCTACATGAGAAATGATTTTGTTTTTTCAGCTTATCCCTGATGATAGCGTTCTGCATAACCTTTTAAATAGGAAATAATTTTCATCCTTGAACATCTTGATGTTAGGATATGATTAGCTTTTAACTTTTAAACGTGATTCCGTCAGTCATAAGTAGTGTTCCCAAATCAGTTGATCACTGAACCCTACACCATTAAAAATTTAAATGCACTTGGGTATAAAATTGTATCTGGAAATGATTCTTTAAGTTTGCTTCTGTCCGTGCAGAGATGCGGTTCAAATTCCAACCTGGGGGACATCATTGATCTAGAGAAAGAACGGATGGGTTCAAATTGGTTAGATCGTTGGATGGAGGAAAGTTTATGGAACAACAACAGAGATGTTCCACTTAGACATGGGCTTGTTGATGATGAGAAGAGTGACAAAATCCTTGAAGTAGATACTTGGAAGCCTCACTTGAACACCCAACAAAGCAACAGGAACTTTAGGGCATCTCAGCATGGTTCAGCCTTGGACTATAACCACAGCTTTATGACGTACGACTCCCCAAGAAAGCTATCAGGAAAAGCGTCAAAGCCCTTACCAAATCTCACTTCAGCAGAAGTTTTATCATTAAGCTCTCTGAAATATCCTGGAGGAAAAGATGAAGCAGTTTTAAGGACCGCCGACAACAGCCCACAAGTGCTTTCTGCATCATCCAGACCTGGAAGTAGTGCTAGGAGAAGTCCTTTCACACCCGCAAGGAGTGAGTGCTCATGGGGCTATTTAAGTGGATTTTCTGGTCATCCCAATTACATGACTAACACGGAATCATCCCGGGCCAAGTATCGGTCCCAGAGTGCCCCGAGGCAGAGGCTAGAGTTTGACAAATATGGTACAACCAGACGAACTATTCAGGGGTTGTGGGATTCGGGGACTAATTCAGAAAGAGATTTTCCTCAACATTTTGACTTCAGGTACAGAGTCCATCCAGCTTCTGGTCGCTTGAATAGGCCTGGTTAGTGCGAACCAAAGGGAATGATCCCTCCCCTCCTATTTTCATTTCCTGGTGTGTGACAGCAATGCTAGAGTTGTAATTAATTTACCACATGTTACAGTCTTTGTACCCGCACGATGAATCTTAACATTATTGATATGGAAAACGGGCACAACTTCCAAAGAAAAATATGATCCGTCAGTCGCTCCAACATGTTAAGATTCTCAGTTCGCGGTTCTTAAATTAGGTTGTATTTACGTAACAGGGTTATATATGAAACCACTTTGCTGTTCTACGAATGCTACCTCGCTTGTGCTTTAGCTGTGTTGGGATCAGTTTCAACTTTCAACTCCAAATTCTCTTGAAAATAATAGCAGAAGAAAACAAAAGAGTTTCAGTTCGACTTATGTGTGTATACCACTGTGGATTCACGGAGGTTAAATCCATCCAAGCACCTGCCTTCTGTCAATGGCCTCGCTTCATCATCTGTCCTTGTCCTATCAATAGTGTCTGAAGCGCCTACATAACATGGTGATATCGATGGTGAACAGACAACATTCTTTTATTATCCGTGACAAAACAAACCAAACCTTGGATTCCCAGAACCAACAATCGCACAGTAACCCAAACAGTTGCTGACAACGATTTGTAGAACCAGTTTCGGATCAACAGAGTGAAAATTTTCAATGATAACATGAAATCAATCTCGAGGCCCAAGCAGAAAGAGCGAAAAGACAAAATCAACTCACCCACAGCTTTGAATGTGATATCATGGCATGGTTGTCCTCTGATTTTCTTTTTCTTTGTTTCTTCTTGTTCATGATTTGCTATTATTTCCAAATTTTGGTGCACGAGTATGGTCCATGACATTAAACGGTTGTAGCACATGAATTAGATGTGAAGTAACTGCAAGTTATTTGTTCATTTCCTTGGTACCACTTTCGAGGAGTATGACACAGCTTAGTCTTCTTAGAATCATTGCGGTCTTTGATTATAGGTTATCGACCACAATCAGTGAGGGTGAAAAGGACAGGTGATCAGTGGTAATGGTCTATTTAACTTGTTCAAATCAAGGATAAAAAAAATGAACAATAACATATGTGGATCATCCCAATCAAGTTCAGTTCAAAAGTAGTAACAAATGCAATCATGATTTAGATCTAATCAATCTAGTTACAAGATCATGTAATAATTGTAATCGAGTGCAAGATCAAATGAGTGTGATTAATTAGTCCTTTGTCAAATCATTTCTTTTACACAAGCAGAATTCAGATGTAGCGAAAAGAAAGTTTGTTTCTTTTATTGCTTGTGAAGTATTTTTATCCTTCTATCCGTAGCTGAAGGCAGCTTCTTATTTGATCCTCCATGCGTCTCTTCATTAGAGCCACCTTGCATCCCCTGTAATTCTCATTCATGGAATGCTGCAGAACAACCAATTATGTCAAATAGAGGTAACCAAGAACTTAAAATAAGGGCAAGCTCACCAAGTAATGACTTAAGCCGTAAATAAACAGCATTTATCAAAAAAAGCATGATCATCGACCCTTATCACAAGTCTGTAAGGATGCATGATGCATGCATATCTGTATGTGCATGTGTGCCTACATGCTTATGATTTTTAGGGAGAGATTGAAGGATATACAAGTTGCAATCCGTGTTAGGATCAACGGTGAAGCCCAGTGCGACTCCACAAAAGCCTGGCAAAGTAGCAATAGCGGTGGAATTAGGATTGTAAGTGGTAATGAGCCCCATCAAGCACCCACAAACGGATCTCCTATTATCTGTGGAGTCCGCGATCAAGTTCAGGTTCATCACAGCATCACAACATGGCGAGCCCGGGTAGGGGTCGGGTGAGCCATAGGTAATGAAGGTGGAGCAGGCTGAGATTAGCCCTGTCACAGTGGTGCAGTCCACGGCAGCAGCTATTGAGGCGGCCCATGAAAGCAACATCAACACACCTATCATTATTCTGTGATCCCCCATTTCAATTTATTTTATCTAAGGTACGTTAGTTTGGAGTTTGGACCTTGTCCTACTAGCCTACTAGATAAGTTTGGCTTCTGGGAAAGAAAAATCCATGTAAAATTTATAGCGCTGATTTAACTTGGGTTGGTGTGCAATTGGTATGCAATGAAAAACGTGTGGAGGTTCATGAAGGTTGAATGAGTATCTGCCAAATTGCCCATGCGACAGGCCACACTGGCCAGTACGGCATCTTACTTCGAATGACTTGGCCCAAGAGCTGCGTGCCCTGCTAAAGTTACGGTGGACCGCACTGCGCTTACCCCACAAATGTAGAAAATCCTGTGTACATGTCAGTTTGAAAAATACTACAAGCCTGAGTCCTGAAAAAAGTACGGTGTTGTTAGTTATCACGTCAGTTTAACACACTGCAGATTTCCGGTTTGAATCCAGGCGATGCCATTTATTATAGTTTTATTTTTTTTTGCCCTGATGTCAAAGACAAGCAAACATAGCCAATCACAGCAGCCGTTACAGACGCCATTAAAAGAGCAAGGTGTGGTGTAGTGGGTTATCACGTCAGTCTAACACACTGAAGGTCTCCGGTTTGAGTAGGGGTGACGCCATTTATGGTAGTTTTTTTTTTTACCTTAAGGTCACATGACCATGACCCGTTCCAAACGGGATGAAAGTAATTGCCTTGTAAATTTTTTGGCATAATATGCTGGAAAAGGAATAAGTTTGCTCTGTTCTTCTCTTTTCTTTGTTTATAAGAAAGGCTTCATCATGTACATAAAATAATTGTGTAAAGAGATGCAAAAGCAACAATCATAGCAGCGTTCTGATGTTTAAAGAAAGGAAAATACAGAAAACACAGCACTTCACACCCCTAAGCTATAACTTTGCATTTACAAATTGCATGAAAAAAAAGAAATCTCCAGACAAAGTGAAGCTTATCCAGTGCTAGTTTTCACTGCAATTCCATCTAGAGGTGGGGACACAGCTCAGATAGTGACACCAATGGCAATGTTCATTTCCATTTTCTCCACGAAAGAGCATTACCAATGCAACAGTGAATCTGACATTTTAGCAAGAATAGAAAGCAATTGAGTCAGTGCGTTGGCCTTGCAGAAACATGGAATTTGATACGACTTCTGTATACATAATACAACAAAATTTTCCAGTTTCTTCCTGATCTTAAGATTTAAAGATAACCATCTCATGCCATGGAAACAAGTTACCATTGACAGGGAACATAAACCAAAGACTGTCTTCTAAGTTGTCTCAAGTTGTCATCGATATGGAAGGATAAATCCATGCCCCACTACCTCAATATGCACCACCATTATAAATGACAGATGAGAAGGAGCATTAACAGTCGCAGAAAAGTGAAATATCTGCATTCTGTTTGCCTTTTGCATAACAAGAAAATGAATCTAGGACCTGGCAAGTCATTTCAGAATTTAAGAAAATTATTCTATACCAAATTTTCATAATACCCATGATTTTGTAGATAAAAGTGCCATTCAAATCATTATGATCCCCAAGATACAATCATCTTAAAATGATATGGATTAAGGATAACAACAATCAATTATTTGACGCCTAAAAGGGTTACTTACCCTACAACCAACAGCACCACGGAAACCAACCACAGGACATATTGGTAAGGCCTGTACTTGGATTTCAGACGAGTACCAGCCGGAAGATTCTGACGCTCTAACCACCCAAACTGAGGACGAGGAAGAAGAACAAAGCCAAGGAGGAACCCAGATAAAAACCCACCAATATGTGCAAAATTATCAACATGTGGCAAAATTCCTATTGCCAGGTTAATGGCAATGATGACCAGAAGAGTTAGCAGAGCTGCAGCCTGAGGAATATTAAGAAAGGGAGTAAGCAAGACAAAGAGCCATTAATAAGACCATTAAAACTATTCCATTGATGAAAGCAACGTTTGGGATGCAGCCTGGTAATATACTAAAATATTACTATGGTTAACATTGTGATAACATATGCTACAACATTCCATGATCAAGGAAAAAGAATGTTTAATATTGTTCACCTTGTTTGTGTATATGGTCCAGTTTGTAATTAGTTCAGAAAGCATTGCGCCAAGAAGTCCAAAAAGAGCACCAGAGGCCCCAACAGAGATGCTGTTTCTGATAAACAGAGTGGAGAGAACACTTCCACCAAATCCTGACAAAAGATAAAGAATTCCAATTCGCACTGCCACATTTTAAAAGCAAATATCAGATCATCTCAATATCTGAAATTCTAATTGACAGACAGTTTAAGGGGAGACAAAGAAAGCAAGAAGCTAAAAGAGAACAACTGCAATTCAGTTCAATATGTTACATACAGAGTATGAACAAGCCTTAAGATAAATTTTCAAAAACAGAAGGAGAAACGCACCAAACCCAAACTGCTGTTCAAGGCGTATACCAATGAAGACTAGGCTCAGCATGTTTGCAAGAAGATGAATAACACCAGCATGTAGCCAGATGCAAGTTACAAGCCTCCATCCTTGATGCTTAGGCACAACTTTGTTCCACTCAAGAGCTCCCAACTTCTTCAATCTGCCAACCGTAACAAAATTTCTTCATTCTTTTTAAATAATAAAAAAATAGAAAAGAAAAGCGTAGAACACTTAAAACTCACAAGTTCTGATAACCAAACTCGACAAACAACGGACACTGGGTGATAGTTTAGATTTGAAATTTATAAAAATAAAGCATTTCAGCTGATCCAACGAAAGTTTTACATTCAAAATCACTAATCGGTAAAAAAAGAAAACCTCATATAACATGAAAATACAGGATATTCATATGAAATCCCTAATTCAAAATCAGAACAAAAATTAGGTCTGGAGAGCCCAAAATGAAAAAAGAAACACACTGGCAAATGTGTTTTCGTCATATGAGAGCCTTACAACAGATTACATAAATTCTAATTCCAGAAGCGAATAAATGAAAAATCCATGGAAACCAGAGACCTAGCATCTCACATCCATGCCAAGCAATGAGAAAAATAAATTTCAACAACTTATTAAAGCAAAAAATATATGGCATATTGAATCCGATAGAATATTATGAATTGGAAGAAGAAAGCAATTTCTGCTAAGTTCTTCCTACAACAACCCAATTTAATGCCTTGACAACTCCAGTAGAAAAATGATCAAAGAGCAACCATAGTTAGGAAATAGGCCAATAATTGCTCCAAAATCACACCAAAGGTCAACCAAATTCAGAGTTCAAACTGACCCAGAAACACGTGTTCCAGAAATTAAACCCAAGAAAAATAAAAGCAATAAAAGAAAAGGGACTAACCACAAAAGAACATAAAAGGAATGAAAGGAATAAGTAATTTACGTAGAAGAAGAGGGACCAAAAAGTGGGTTCTCTCTCAAAGGTTCAAAAGAAAACCGACCAAGAAACCTCGCCACACACTTGCCGACAAGCCTCGCATGTCTTTGCTTGGGACAATTGTTGACATACATAACGACAACAAAAACAGCAATATTAGCCACCACGAACATAGGCACCAGCCACGATGTCCATTGCGTCTCCGTATCCTCTACCATGTAAGTTAATGAAGATGTATAGCCGCTGCCTGTAGCATTACTGTTATTGCCGCTTCTCTTCACCCCTCCTCCCCTGTTCTCTATATCGTCCCCTGGCATTTTCCCTCTCTTCCCCAGGCCAAACAAAAAAGAAACCTGTTTGTGGTTCTCTTTGCTTCTTCTATCCTGAAACTTTTGCCTGATTATGATAGGATTTTGATGGAGCTGGTGAAGGGTTTAATGAGAAGTTCCATAGTGAAGACAGTGGGACAGTGGTATTTTTCTTTTCTTTTGCTTTCAGGTTTCTAACTGGCGCAGTTCGCAGGGAAATCGGGTACCTAAAACCGTGGGTCCATTACGAGAAGACCCTTCATTGATTGCCACGTAAGTAGAGTTAAGTTTGGTCGTTTACGAGAAGAAAGGTTATTGGTTTAGGTCTTTGCTGGAGTGGGGGTGTGGGAGCATGGGAAGCGGGCTCTACTTACGTGCGCTGGCTTTGCCAGTTACCCCAAACTTCAGTTTCGCGATGACTTAAACTGACGCTCGGTTTTTTTTTAAATAGTGGCTGCCTCTGCCCTGTCTGCTGCTGCTTCAAGCTAAGATAATAGTACTAACAAAATGGCAAAAACCTTTTTCTGTTTTGTACAATACACTTAACCAAAAGGGCAAAATGAAAATATTGGTTAATCAAAAGAACAATGAGGGAGAAAGGGATAGGATCCATTTTGATTGTTTGAATTCATGATTTAACACCTGCCTATCATGAAACTGACCACCAAGCTAGCAGGTTTTTAGGCCGCCAAGAACATTTCAGCTACGTAATTTTCGGGAAGGAACACTCGATGCAAGGTTTGGGTAACTTGTATTTGAACTGTCATAATGGGAAATGCAATCCTACCTATTCCTAATACGAAGTCGTATAAGATATAGCTTTCAAGCTTTATCAAGATTAATATCACCAATTGATAGTTTCTTAGAACTTGTCAGTGGATAAATGAGTTGGAGATGAATATTGAACGGTAAGTGCACAATCACTTATCAGATTTGTTGTTGTGTAACCTTAGACCACAGATGGGTCTTTCTTTCCTTTCATTTGGACCTATCTTCTACGTTTGGATTAGCGATTGATTGCCTAGTTGGTATCTATTTTGTTTTTAAACAATTACTTATCTTTTTTTTTCCCATGAAAGTTAACTTTGCACCTACCTATCATTATCTCTAATTAATGATGCAACAAAATTTATATAAAACATATAAAAAATTTCTAAATAATTTTCAAAAGCTAAATCTATGTTTGTCCTGAGTGTTTGATTATGCTAACCAGTTCATTCCTAATCCATCTGAGTGCATGTCATCGATATAATATCTTCAAGAAATCAGAGAAAGAAAAGCGGCAAAGGTAGAAGCAGAGAATATTCTATTAAAAAGGTAAAAAGGGTAGAAATAATTTCATTCCATT